TCTCACCACAAAGAAAGTACTTAATTTTCTATTCACCTTCATTTGATTAATACACGATATAAGCATATATCAAAACATCACATTGTACCCATAAATATGCACAATTCTACGTGTCAATCAAACTGAAACAAACCTTTAAAAAGTGTATAATGTCAAATGTGAACACCAGAATGAGAAGACAGAACAAAGCAGAAAAAGATATGCAAAACGCTCATGGGTGAGAACTCCTCTTCAAAATTGATGACAGACACCAAACCACAGTTCCAGGAAGCAGAGTGAAATCAAAGCAGAATATGTATCAAAAAATACTATTCCTATTCATAGCATATTCAAACTTCAGAAAAAAAGACAAAAATAAAATTGTGAAAGATACTAGCACAAGGTGAGAATACTTTACCTTTAAAGGGATAAAGATAAGCTTTAGTGCTGATGTTTTGTCAGAAACAATACAAGCCAGCAGAAAGCTGAGCAAACATGTAGCGTTGAAAGAAAAAGAAGAGAAAAATAGGAGAAAGCAAAAAGAAAAATAGAATTCAAAATTCTACGTCCAGCTAAACTAACTTTCAAAAGTGAAAAAGAAATCAATGATTTCTTAGACAAGCAAACACGGAAGGAATTTTCTAGCAAATTTGATTTGTAAAATATGTCCACAGACATGAGGCATGAGGAAATGATATAAGTCAGAAAAGAAAGGTTTCATATGAAGAAAAATAGAGAAGAAATAAATGAAGATGAAGGAAAATATTTTTTCTTATTCTTATTGATCTTAATAACTGTTTTTAAAAGTATTAAGTTGAAATGTGTGATCATCCATGTGATGATAGCACATGGATAAAACATGGATGAGTGCAATATCATGGGAGACACGAGGAAGGAACTTGGAACTCTCCATTATAAGACACATAAACTACATACAAAGACAAGTAGTGTTACTTAAGACTTGAATTAGATTGGTTAAAAAAAATTGTAAACACTAGAGCAAACCAACATAAATGTTTTTTAAAATGTGTAGCTGATATACTAAAGGAAAAAGTAAAACGAAGCTATACAAAACACACAAATAAAATCAAAGAATTCATAACTATATGCCTCTGAAAAGGTATAGAAAATATAATAAATATGACTGTTATTAATCCATCTACATAATTTATAACTTTAAATGTGAACAGTCTAAATGCAGCAACTGAATAGAGATTATTATAATGAATAAAAAATTACCTAATAATATGTCTATTTGTAAAAATACTTTTTAATATGAAGGGTCAGATAGTTTTGAAATAAATGAAGAAACATTTACCATGCTAAAACTGAACAAAGGAAGCTGGAGTCACTACATTAATTTTGAAATAGCAGACTTTAGAGCAGGACAATTAGAGATAAACAGAGTTGCAACATAATAATAAAAGTGTCAATTCTCCAAGAAGATATAATTCTAAATGTGTATACACCTAGCTACAGTGGTAAAATACACAACACATAATTAAGAGAAGGTAAGACATAAGTAAACAAATCCACTATTATAGTTGCAGTTTTCAAAATAGCTGTAAGAAGGATGAAGTTGACATAAATGCCATTATAAATCCATCTAATGTATATGACATTTATGGAAACTTCCATCCAACAAAAAACAAATAAATACACATTTTACTCAAATTCACATAAAACATCCACCAAATTAGACCACATTCTGGGCCATAAATTTTATTTTAAAAATTGAAAGAAAAAAAATCATTCAAAATACGTTATTACACAGTGGTATTAAATTGAAAATCAATAAGAGAAGTATAGGTGGAAAATCCACATATATTTGTAGATTAATCTACTCAATTATAAGTAACAAATGGGTAAAAAATATTTTTTAATTAAAACTTTTGAAGTGAATGTAAATAAAAATACAACTCATTAAAGTTTGTGTGATGCAACAAAAATCGGTGCTTAGAAGGCAGTGTGTCATATTAACTCCATAATTACAAAATTAAAAACTTGTAAAACTTGGTAATCTAAATTAGGGCACTGAAAATACCAATTTAAAATGCAAACAAGAAGTAGTAAAAAATAACAAAAAGCAAAAATCAATGAAATCAAAAATTGAAAAACAATAAAGAAAATCAACACAACCAAAAGCTGGTTTATTGAAATGATCAATAGCATCAATCAACCAGTAGTCAGACTAAGACCAAAAAAAACACAATATTTACTAATATTAGAAAAATATGAGATATTATAGCTACTGTTCCCATGGACATTAAAATTATTCCATCTCATCCACTAAACAACCACATAAGTAAACCACGACAAAAGCTAGACCTGGCAAAGGAGTGATGGTGAGCATCCATAATGTCTAGAATATATTACCTATAATGTCAAGTTTTAAGCAAGTGGTATAAGCTTTGCAAGTAAACAGCAATATTTACCACATGAACAGGAAAAAAAATTAGAAGTGACTCCTGAGAAAGCCAACATATGAAACTTAATAGACAAAGACATTAATGGACTATTAAAAATATTTGTAAAAACTAGAAGAATTCATGCTTACAGAAGTAAAATGACAATGTCACAAACAGACTATTAAGAAAGATATAAATTACTTTTTAAAAATCAAATTGAAATCTGGAAATGAAAACATACAATCCAAGTTAAAAATTTACTAGAGTGTCTTAAGAGAAGATTTCAGCTGGTAAAAAAATAATAATAATTTTAAAAAACTTAAAGATGTATAGAAATTATGTAATAAAAACCAGGAGAAATAATGAGCAAATTAAGATTCATTAATTAACAAAAATAAACAGAGCTCAGGGAAACGTAGGACAACATTAAGGACACTAGTGTACTAGTGTGAGTACCTAAAAGAGAAACTAACAAAAGAAAATAATTTTAAATGACAGAAATCATTTGAAATTTGATGAAAAAAAAATCTATACACCCAGGAAGCTCCATAAACTCTAAGCAGGATAAATCCAAAGATACTCACACACAGATATATTATAAAAGTTTATTAAAAGACAAAGAGGTCTATCTTTAAAGGAGTTGGAAAAAAACGAATGACTTGTTACCTTTGAGGGGATTCCACTAACAGTTGACAACTCATTAAAAAATAAAATAATAAAGAAGCCAGAATGCAGAGAGGCTATGAAATCATAAACACTGTCAACCAAGAACTGTTTTCCAGCAAATGTATCTATTAAAAACAATGGTAAAATCATTACCCAAATATAACTGAGCAAATGTGTTACTTGGAAAATTGCTTTACGATGTATAACAGTAAGCTATTCAGGTTGAAAGCAAGTAACCTTGTATGATAATCCAAATCTAAAAACAAAAAACAGAAAAACAAAGAGAACTGATTGAAGTATTTATGTAATTATAAAATACAGTATATATACTGTATATATTATATATACTGTGTATATATCTTATATATAGTGTATATATGAAATACATATTCTGTATATATATGAAATACATATTCTGTATATATGAAATATGTATTCTGTATATATGTGAAATATACTGTATATATGTGAAATATATACTGTATATGTGAAATATATACTGTATATGTGAAATATATATTCTGTATATGTGAAATATATATACATATTTCCTGTCCTTTATCTTAATAAGTGATTTTAAAAGCAAGTGTATAAAATAATACGCATGAAATTGTATCATTGGACTTACAGCATTTAAAAATAGATAACAGAATAAAAGAGGCGGGTAGGAGAAAACTTAAATGGGGTGTAACAAAATTGTACTAGACTGTAACTTGAATCAATAGCATCAACTTAAATCTACAGAAGCTAATGAATAGAATCAGAAATGATAAAATAGTTAATATGAAAATTTTAAAGTACATATTCTCCTTTTTTATTCAGCTTCTTTAAAAGATGAATGCATGTACAGCAATAATAATAAAATGCAGATTTGGGTTTTTTACATACATAAATGTAATGTATAAAACAATAATAGCACAAAAATGGAAGAAGGTATAGAGCTATACTGAAATAACATTTCTATATCTCATGATGACTATGTTAGTATTAATATAAAGTAGATTCTGTTAATCTGTAAAGAGTAAACCCTAGAGAAATCACTAAGAAAATGGTTTTTAAAAAAAGAGTAAGGTATTAAATAAATTTAAACATTACAATAGAAAATGTATGCTCAATGCAAAAGCAGTAAAAAAGATAACATGAGACATACAAAAAAACAAACAGCAAAATTGCATATGTCAGTATCCCAAACCTTATCAGCAATGATATTAAATGTGAACAAATTAAAAATCCAACCAAAAGGCTGAAATTGTCAAATTAAATTTTTAAACAGTTCCAACTACATGTTTTCTATACAAAACATATTTTAGATTTAAACATACAAAAAATCAAAAGTAAAATAATGGAATATAATATTTCTTGTTGGCAACACAAGAAATCTGGTGGCTATACCAATATCAAATAAAGTAACACCAAAACAGTTACCAAAAGAGGGATATTTGATAATCATACAATAATCAACTCATTAGAAACACATTAGAATTATGAATATATATGTACCTAAAAAGCGATAACAGTACACTGAGCAAAACTGACAGAACTCAGGGGAGAAAAGACATTTCCACAATAATTGGAGCCTTCAATGTCCTTCGTTTAATAACGGTTAGAGCAACTATGAAGAAGACTAACAAGGCAGTAGTAAAGTTAACAATCAACAAGACCTAATAAATATGCATTGAACACTTGACTCAACAACAACAGAGTACACATTCTTCCCAAGTGCTCATGGTACATTTTCCAGAAGAGATCAAATGCCAAGCCTTAAACAGAATGAGTAAATGTAAAGCAGTAGAGATCAATCAGGAATGTACTCCAAACAAAATGGAATAAAATCAGAATCATCAACAAAAAAAGACCCCTGGAAATTCACAAATATATTCAAATTAAACAAAACACTTCTAAATAACCTGTGGGTCAAAAATATATCACAAAATTCTAAGTGCCTACCTGTGTTCAAACAAGGAGATTCTTGTGGATTTAGGGAGGCATCTTTTGGCAAGGTCAATTCTAATGGCATGTTCATGCATCGATTTTAGAGCCAAGTTGTCCTCTTGCAATCTCCTGTAATAGGATTAGGGAGGCATATGTAGAGATAGGATGACCTCAGCAAAATGGAATGGCCAGATTTAACTATCATCTCTCCACAAAAACATTGAAAAATAAGCATAACCAGTCAGATACAACTTCATTAGAATTTCTAAAAAATAGTTCCAGGTTTACAGCAAGAAATGCTGCAACAAAGCAACAAAGCAAATGCTGACTCAAGAAAAAGATAGCTGATACAAAAAATAAAAATATTTGTGATGTTTTTGCTTTCCCTTGTTCCACCCCCTTCACAGCATGGTAACAGTCTTGAAGGTACCTTATGCTCCCAATGTAGGACCTCGGATCCTGGGACTGAAGAGAGAAAACAAACCTCATTTGCAAATTATTGTGCATGCCTGCTATAAACTCTTTGAAGACTACTTGAAGGATGGAGACAAGGTGCTCAGCAATCTTTCACTTAATTAAGAATTCAGGCTGGAAAAAGAATGAGCATCATTCAAAATAACCACAAGATGGGCCATGCATGGTGGCTCACTCCTGTAATCCCAGCACTTTGGGAGGCCGAGGTGGGCAGATCACCTGAGGTCGGGAGTTTGAGATCAGTCTGACCAACATGGAGAAACCGCGTCTCTACTAAAAACACAAAATTAGCCAGGTGTGGTGGTGCATGCCTGTAATCCCAGCTACTTGGGAGGATGAGGCAGGAGGATCACATGAACCTGGGAGGCGGAGGTTGTGGTAAGCCAAGATGGCACCACTGCACTCCAGGCTGGGCAACAAGAGTGAAACTCCATCTCAAACAAACAAAAAACTACAAGATGATCTAATAAATCAAAAATGCCTGGACAAAATATTATGTTCTAGACATGTAATAAACTACCTAAGGATGAGGAGGAACAGCTAGGGGAGAGTTTCTTTGAAAATTTAAGACATTCAAAAGCGTCCATGCATACAAGGCAATTAAGAAAGCCACATATATGTCCAGGGCAAGACACATGCTCAACAAGACCCAAAGCTTTTATCTCAGGCCGATCAATAGACTTAATGCAAGTCTGGCTAAACGTCTATGTTTATCGCACAGAGCTAATCTCAAATATTGGGAGAGGCATTTTTCGTTTGCTTGTTTGTTTTAGACCCTAGTAATAAAAACAAAAGAAAAAATGCCAATAGCTGAACACAAGCTAAAGAACAGACATGTCAGTTATTACACGAGAAAAGACTATTCAGTCTGAAAAAATACGTTAGAAAGTAATTAAACAGACGTCTACTACAGTCTCAACCAGAAAATAATAAACTTTGAGGACAGGAGAGAATCTCCAAGTTACCACATAGTAATATCCAAATATCCAGGTTTCTACAAAAATCACAAGGCTGACAAATAGGAAAATATGGCCCATGTAACAGAACAAAATAAATTGACAGAAACTGTCCCTGAGGAAGTCCAGACATTGGATTTACTAGAAAAGGTTTTAAATATACAGTTATATGTTGCTTACCAGTGGGAATATGTCTTAAGAAATGCATTATTAGACAATTTTGTCAATGTGCAAACATCAGATTGTATTCACGCAAAGCTAGATGGTATAGCGTACTACATGTCTAGACTATATGGTGTAGCCTATTGCTCCTAGGCTAGAAACTTGTACCGAATGTTACTATACTAAATATTGTAGGCAACTGTAACACAGTGATAAGTATTGTGTATCTAAACATGTATAAACATAGAAAAGGTACAGTCAAAATACAATATTATAATCCTATGGGAGGACAATCATAAATGTGGTTGGTTTCCCATTGACTGAAATATCATTATGTGGTACATAACTGTCCTCACAGAAAAACATAAAAGTAAAAACAAAGAACTAAAAGAAATCATGAGAATGATGTACAAACAAAATAGAATGTAAGAAAGAAATTCCAAAAAGAACTAAACATAAATTCTGGAGCTAAAATTATAATAGACATTTTAAAAGACAGAAGATTTGAGCAAGCAGAAAATATAGTTTGAGAACAAAACTGTAGAATACTTGAAATTATCGAAATGTATAATTAAATATAAAAGCCAATATTACTGTGTTTTTTATTTATAACTTTCTGAAATAATTTCTAGCAGAAACAATATCAAAATAACCATAATTATATAAAAATCATTATAATTCTGAGCATAAAATGTAGAAATGTGTAACTTAGAAACAACATAAAAGGGAGTGAAGTTACATAGGAGTAGGGTATTTGCATGCTGGGGATGTTGACTTTAATTCAAAGTACATTGTGATAAATACAGGATCTTGAATATTATACCTATAATAAGCACAGAGAAAATATCCACAAAATAATACACAAAAAATGAGGGAAGGGAATTAAGTAGCGCCCTATTTGCAAACTCAACTAAAATCAAACAGAAAAGGTAATAACAGAGAAAATGAGAGCAAAGTATATATAGTTATATAGAAAAAAAAAGCAAAATGGCAGAAGTCCTTTTTAAATCAATAATTACTTGAAAAAGAAATGTATCAAACTCTTCAATCAAAAGGCAAAATAGAGTGAATTCCAAAAACGACACAACTTCAAGAGACTCACATTAGATCTAAAGACTCAGATTGAAAATTAAAGGATAGAAAAAGATATTCCATACCAATATCAACCAAAAAGAAAGCTACGGTGGTAATATCAAAGTAAATTTATAACTGGTATATGAGGAAGAGGGAGGTGTATATTTTAAAAAGTGTCAATTCATTAAGAAGATGTAATTATAAACATATATTCTCAAAACAACATAGTCCTAAAATAATATGAAGCAAGTACTGACAAACTTGAAGGTAAGAATAGATAGTTCTACATTAATAGATGGAGACTTGAATACCCCACTTTCAATAATGGATAGAACATCTAGACAGAATTTCAATTAAAAAATACATGACTTAAAAACATATAAACCAACTGATCCTAACAGTGTGCGTGCGTGTGTGTGTATGGGTGTGATATATATATACACTCATATATATACACACACATATATATATAGTATATTATATATTATGTACATAGGGAGAGACTGAGACTTGGTCTATGACTCAGATTTAGAAGATGTCTCTGCTTAATTTTTTCAAAAAGTAATGCTTGACAAATTAGACACCAAGTATGTATCTCATTGGCTTCTAGCAAATGACAAACTCATTTATACATTCATAAAGTTAATGATGTGCTTGCTTCTAGGTAGTTTCTTATAAGTTACTATTTTCTACCTAATTTTAAAACAACTGGGCAATTTTATTATTCTGTGAATTGTAAAAATGGAAACTTTAAAATACTTCTAGAAAACATAAATGTTGCGAATGTGTGAAAAGTAAATTGAAATAGATATTAAAATTAATGAATACATGAAGATTAATATACAGTATTACTGTAAATGCTCTATATGCTATATAGTTTCTATACTCTATATAATCTGTATACTATGTACTATAAACCCTGTATTAGACACTATACTAAATTTTCTATAAACTATCGTGCGTATATATATGTAATATTTTCTGAAAGTTGAAGAAGATATTCATAAGGTTCCAAATGACTACATAAATCTGACTCTTCCTAGAATTCTAATATCTTACTTCTTAAGCATGAGGAGTTATATGAAAAAAAATGACATTATAACTTAGTTCTGTCTACACATTCTGTCCCATAGCTACTCTAATGAAAGATAGACAAGTAGTTTGTGCTTATCATAATAACTTCATTTGCCCATAATAACTCATTTGCCCACTTTAAATAGGTAACAATAAGGCCGTATTTTTCTAAGCAGTTTTCTTAGACTAAAGGCTAAACTGCTGGGGGAAAAATACAATCGCTTAAAGAGTGAAGTTTGTCTCACGCACGTAAGGCAGCTTTTCTCTGTGAATTTTTATTGAGTGCATTTTCTTCCTCCATCAATCCCATAGATGTTGTCTTCATCAGCATGACTGATGCTGCACCTCTACCATATCTACACTTCAGTCTGCAGGAAGGGAAAAGTGAGCAAGACCAGAGGAAGAAATCTCCTTTTAACCGAATGAACACATTACTTTGTTCATATTCCATTGGTGAGAACTTATTACAGAGCCTCACATGGCTGATACGTGTGACAACAACAGAAATCATTCACAGCTCTGTAGTCACATGCCCAGAAAAAGAGAGGGGAAAAGATTGGAAGGGAATAACTGGTAGGCTGCCAGAGTCCGTCCTATGGCAACCATTTATCAGTGTACACTCTGCTTCCAACAAAGTGAACTCATTCTTCCTCCAAAGGACAAAGCCCAAGGTCCTATCCTATTACCTCTTCCAGCACAAATCTCAGAATCTGTGGTTAATGGGCATCCCTCTCTATTAGGTTCTGTAACAGATCCTATATTCTGGCAACTTATAAACTAATAGAAAAAAATCTGTCCTCTATATCCAACCTCACTTTATTATATAGACATATTCAGGTATGTGACAATATTTATGGGGACAAGAAAAATACTACAAATGTAGTCTTACATATCCTATATCTATGCAATGATATGTCCCTCCAAAATGTTTGTGTCCCTCGGGACAATGTTTGTGTCCCTCCAAAAATCATACATTAAAACCTAATCCTTAATGTGATGCTATTAGGAGGTGGGGCCTTTGGGAGGTGACGAGATGAGGAGGGCAGAGCCTCTGTGAAGGGGATTAGTGCCCTTACAAAAAGACCTCAAAAAGCTAGCTAACCCCTTTCACCCTGTGAAGACAGAGTGAGAGGGTGTCATTATGGGAAAGCGGGCCCTCCCCAGACATCAAATCTGCTGACACTTTAATTGTGGATTTTCCAACTTACAGAACTGTGCGAAATAAATTTATGTTGTTTATAAACAACTTGATATATGGCTAAGACAAACAATATTAAATAATTACAAACAGCCCGGGTACAGTGGCTCGTGCCTGTAATCCCAGCACTTTGGGAGGCCTAGGCAGGAGGATCCCTGGAGTACTGGAGTTTGAGACCAGCCTGAGCCACATAGTGAAACCCCGTCTCGACAAAAAAATAAAATAAAAAATTAGCCAGGCATGGTGGCACGTTCCTGTAGTTCCAGCTACTCAAGACGCTGAGGTGGGAGGATCTCTAGAACCTGGGAGATGAAAGTTACACTGAGCCCAGGTTGTGCCACTGCAATCCAGCTTCTCAAAAAATAAATAAAATTAAAAATATATAAACCAAATTAGACTGTTAAATATAATACATTCTATTCACTTATGTTGATAAATTCAGAATCCTCAGATTCTTGTTTTTACATCCTAGAATATATGAAAACACGAGGAAAGATAACCCTAGCTCTGAATTTGTAACCATGACCCTCTCTTCTCTTCACTTCCTTCCCTTATGATTAATCGGGTGACACCCCAGTCTGCAAGCCAGACTACATTGCTGCCCTTAGCCAGTTCTTGGGTTTAAGTTAAGGCCAGCAACTTTCAGGGGGATGACATGGGTAGAAGGTCTGTAAAATACCTGGAAGCCAATTAGGGTCTATTTGAGCAGGGCTCTGTGGACTATAAGACATTCAAAGCATGGCCCAGAAGTGGAGCCTATTCTTCAACTAGACAAAGGCATCACTGCCCTTTGGCCTACGCAATTCTTACCTTGAAAACTGGGGTTAGGCTGGGGAAGGATCGAATTGAGTTTGACAAAATATGCAGTCCAAAGCAGCACCCCTTCTTGCCTGGGTCTGAAGTTGCTAATGAAAATAATATATGAGACTGGAAGAGAAACAAAATTACTGTAGTTAAAAAGAATTCATTGAGGAAACAGAATGGGAAACAAGTCAGTTCACACATAATGATGATGTCTTTTTGGGAAGAACTAATAAAGGCAGACTGTAGAAAGTTGAGTATTGGGTAGATTCAGATTCTGAGCTGTGAGAAAAACGATCTCCTCCTCTGTCTTCCATGGCACATGTCTCTGCCTTCTGGGAGGTTCATGATTGTGTTCATCAGCTTCTGCGGCTACATCTGAAGAATGAATCTATATTCTCCTTGGAGGCTGCATACTTACACAAACTACTTTTTGCAGGCGCAGTTCTGGGAGCCTGAGAATAGTTTTAGAGATAATCAAAATTTTTAGGTCAATCTTGTGATTTCTTTGTAATTGCTCTCTCAAAAATTTTTAGACCCATGGCCTATTTGCTTCCCCTCAGTACTAATATGCCAGGAAAAAAAATCACAGTGTTATTTTATGGACATACTTCCTAAGCCTGACTTGTGATTTTCTCGTCTGTGCCTATTTCTAACTTATTTTGATTGAGGCAACTTGAAGGTCTCTGACACAATACATGGGAGTGAAAGACAATACTCCAAATCTGAGGTTTGCTACAAACTTAGATACCTTTATGGATTAGAAATCTTAATCAGAAGTATCAATACATGTTTTTAGACTGACATTTTTGTCTTTCAGTTTGGGGGGAGTAAAAATAAGATGATTAGGATATTGCCACCCTGCAAAGCCCCATATTTTTGGACTTCACCTTTCATTTTGTTTTGAAAGTAAGTCAGATCTCATCTGAGGTTCTTTATTGTAGTAATTTGCATAAAGCAACAAGAAACAGGCAACATATAGTTAACATTATGGATCTTTGTCATTATTTCCTCGAAAATATAGGCTCAATAGTCACCTGATTTGCTTAACAAAATGTGGCTTAGTTACCTTTTCAAAGACGAAAATTTATCAACTATAACGGCATAACAAGGGTCACCAGCTTTCCAACCTTACCTGCCTATACTGCCTGAGCACTATTCTAATGTCACGTATTTTCAGTTTCTTTCACAGGACCAACCCTCTAGTGATACTAATATCTGCTTTAGTTAGAATCAAGTTTAGGTTGCAATATAAGAAGACTCAAAATACAGTGGCATGAATACATTAAGAATGACATTTTCTAGACTCGACAGCAGCTAGATGCAGCCATGTTCCCAAAAAGGCTCGGGGAATGTATTTTTAGATGACAATTGGCACACCGTTTTAACTTTAAAAACTGAAAATTCCACTATCACTTCAAAAAGTACTCTATTAAAGATCAACAATAGACATCCAAAGATTAATTTCAATAATGTCCTTTTGCTTTAATACATTCCACTAAACTCCTTTCCCACTTTCACTCCTTTTCAATAAAACATCTCAGCATTTGACAATAACCTCTCATACCTTGAATATCTGTTCTCTTTTAATTCATCAGTGAGTCTGTTTTTAAATTCCTCTTTATCACAATTTTTGTCCTCCTTATTTTTACAAACTGTATGTCTATTGGCTGTTTTCCTTATTCTGTATTCCGTGATCAACTTTTAATTTTTATCTGTTTCTTAGATTTCTCTTCTAATATTCACTCTTTATTTCAAACTGTCTTGTAGTATCTCCACATTACACTTCCCACTTTTCTAGTTTAACACCCCATTTTTTCTTTCAGTATCCAGTAAAGAACACCGTTCCCTCTTTCCAAGTCAGATTATGTGACATTGCTTGTGGCATTTCTTTTTTGCATAAGATTATTTTTATCTCTTTTTGTCAACATTTTACACATTCTTCAATGTTTATGTCAAATGCTAAAAATAAAATATCCATAGGAACTCATGCTTACATGAGCATTCCATCGTTAAACTTCCATACAACTCTATAACTTTTTTAAAAATGGGATTCATATGCTACTGTAGCCAAAATTCCTTTCCCTATTCTTCTGTTCTAAAGTCATCATCTTATAAAATGTATTGGAATTGCAGGATTCGTCTGACGCCACTCCAGACATGCTGTTTTGAGTTACATGTTCTTATTCTCTGTTTCTATCTCTGGGATGAGTTACTGCATTCAAAGCAAACACTTTGAGAGAACCCTCAAAGAGATGATGATACCTCTTTAAAGACAACAGTAACAATTTCAAGGTAGACAGGCTCACTTTCCTTGATGCCCCTACAATTTTGGTGACCACAGTAGCAATGCATACATTTGTCAAATGTACAGTTTTGGAAGTGGTGCAAATAATTAAGGAAAATAAAATCACAGGAGAAAAACATTTTAGAACTGTTCTAAATTGACTACACAGTCCACAAAAAGAATATACAAATAGACTAAAACATTACATGTGATTATCTCTGTTGCCAAGCCTCAATTCAAAAACTTGCTTTTCTTTCTTCAGGTTTTCCACCTTACTTCCAGTTCATTTTTTTCCATCTTAAAATAATTCTCATAACTAGTTTGGTTTGTCTATTTGTTAGTATTTTGTCTAACTCAATGACTATATTTTCATGTATATAGAATTTCTAGTTCTTAATATGCCCATTTTTAATGTATTTTTTCCTTTCAGGTTCTACTTCATTTTTCAGTGTGATCACTTTATATATGCTTATTTTAAAGTCTCTTTCACAGTTCTCTATTATCTTTAGTTATTTTTCAGCTCTTTATTATATACCATGGAAGTTGTTTTCTGTCATATTTGAAAGACCTCATATGCAAACTTTCCTATAAAGCATTTTCTTTATGTTTTGTAACCCATATGGATTGTCTAAATTCAGACCATTCAAAAAATAATTTTTGATTTGTAGTTTCTATAACTTATTGGCAATTTAAGCATAATCATATCCTTATAAGCCTCCTGCTTCCTTACTTCATATCCAAGACATTGGGGTAAAAATTGAGTCTCATTTAGAAGCAGAGTTAGCATTTCCTCAGTAATGATTTTGTGCAAGATACTCAGTTTCATCTCCCTCTAGCTAAATGTGAAGGTCTATGGCATGGCCATCATTTTAAAACAAATCAAAATATTTTGATCTAAATTCTGCTTTACTCTCTTTTTATTTGTACCTTAGAATTGATTCTGTTGTCATTTCTTTTGAGCCTAATCATATATATTAAAACATGATTCCTGGAGTTTTTGAATTTTTCAGTGTCTAGGACCTACCCTCATTAGTTCAGTCCACCATATTGACAAGTATCCCCTCCTTTCCTTCCTAAGGCATCATTTTTACAAACAGCTGGCTATAAATCTTTGCTCTCCTTTCATGAAATTTATCCCTTACACACATGGCTTTATCTTGTCCTAAGCTTTAGGTCTCTGCTGTCAGTAATATTTGTCAGCCTATCTGAAATATACATTCCAAAAAACATACTGTGCCATATAGCAGTACTAGACAGCACTTGAGACTTCAGATGCACAGAACATTTTAGGATGGGGAAGGACATTCCAAATCCCAACTCTTCAAAAATATCCTTGTCAGCATGATAGCTCATATTCTTCCTGATATTTTGGGAATTAGATAAAAATTAAATAGCACATTGACAAACATTAAAGTGAAATACTCAGCCTTAGATGCACTGCCTTGTAAAATCTCTGTGACATAAAGAAATATTTTTCAGTTCATAAAATGTGTTGTAACTCCTGCTATGAAAATATGATTTAACTTCATTATTAGAGAAATGTCAACATTCTCCCTCTATTTGTTATTGATGTTTCCATGCTGTGTCACTGGGCAGAGGTATTTGAACTCAACTTCTCCCCGCCCCCATCAACTGGTTACAAAATGTTGAAAACTTTTTACATGATTGTTCATAGTGACTTTATTCATAATAAATGAAAACAAGCAATCTAAATTTCCATTAAAAGGTGAGCTGATAACCAACTTGTCATATATTCATATAATTGAATACTACTCCACAACACAAATGAGCAAACTATTGATATTGCTTTGTCATTCTGCTTCAAACCATAATCTGAGATTAAGCACCATCTCCTCATATAAGGAATTGGGATTTTACAGTAAAAGCAGAAACTATACTTTAGTGAAGCAATAGGGAGAAAATAGCTTTTGATTAACTTTGGTCTTCATTTTAAGTTTGGGGTGTTTTTCTGAATCAATCTACTAGATTATAAACTTTGAATATAAAAACGTTTATTCAACATTTGCCTTCTAAATATTAGTTTCTCATTAAAATATATATTAATAAAATTTCCATTGTTATATCATTTTAGAGCGACATCAACTCCAGAGAACTGAGAATTCAAACCTCACAAAGAATGTTTTTAGAAATGAAAATTTCAGAGACTTTTGTAAACCACACACATTCTCAATGAATGTTTATCTATTTGGTAAATATCTATATATTATATAATAACATATTACCTTTTAATAAAATTTTATAAAGTCTAAATCATTCTATTAATTTATGAAATGACTTTCAATATTTCTTTACTAATAGAAATAAACACTCTTATAAAAAGAAAAAAGTTACTTGACAGATGTTTATTTTTAACAAGCTATATTTAGTGTTGAAAAAATACTTATTTGGGTTGAAAATAGGTTCCCTTTTTATGTCATCTCATTTCATGTGAGTATATATATATACACACACACACACACAGAGATATATACATACAGCAATTATTTAGAGAGAAAAAGTCATCACTCTATTGCAATAAAATATCATCTTTAACAAGAATAAATAGCTAATGGTAATTTTCTAATGGCTCCATAATTGGTGATATTAAGGTAGTATTCACAAACTACTTTTATTATAAAATTATTTCTGTTCCTTTTGTCATTAATTGATAATTTGTGGGGCAATAATTCCAGGCTTTTTGAATATCTTGGCACCTATAATCTAGTTACTTCACATTGACTAATGAATTTTTCCTTAGTCAGTTTTTATTAAGATGATTATTAAATGGTGATATTTCTATTTTTACCATT